AATGGTCATTCAAAAACCCAATAAACCCACCTTCGATCATATTAAGATCTTCGGTAGCGGTTATACAAGCAAATATTACTCGGTTTTTACATTGTAATGCAAAGCATACGACTACTGATGGTAAATCTACATAAGAGTAAATCAACTAACAACTTTATTGCTGTGAATTTTCTTCCCGCTAAGAAATATTTTTATAGTTGTTAGTATCTATCGATTTTCTACCTCAACTCTTAACCTGGTGTCAACTGATTCGGGTTAACGGTCGAATGTGCTTAGTGAGTTAGATGTACAGACAACTATGTAGTCGATCACTTGCTGGATGCGGATGGAGAGAAGACACAGTTTATACAGATTCTCTAGTCCAACTCACATTTCTATAAAAGCGCATTACAGATTCCAGTTCACATCTGGATTTGCGTTTTTTATCGAGCCCCGAATAGATGCAACAAAGTATCAAATAGCTAAGGCAAAGCATGCATTCTTTGGGAAGTGAACCACTTCCCACTTACCATCGCGCCAACGTATAAGACGAAAACAAAAAAGAACTCTATGAGCAACCACAACAATTCCTCACTTCAAACCGGACGAGATGAATGCTGGACGGGCTTTCTCGGCCTCCGCTGAGACCGTGCGAAGAAAGCGTGCAGAGTCTGTGGTGAGTATGGTCGAAAACGGGGGGTGGAAACAATAAAGGGAACCAATGCCACTAAACAGACAGTGATTGGAGTGGAATTAGGCTGTTGAAGACAGACGACGTTTCAGAGAGCGCAATAATGCGTTGTTTCCCTTTTGTATATCATAACTAAGTTTCTTAAACGAATCAGTAAATAAGCGGTGACCGAAGGTGCGTTGCGTATGCCAATATGGGTCANNNNAACATCCAAGACGCATCACACAAAACAATGGAGTATCTGTTAATTGGTGGAAGTCAACTTACCGCACTTCCTCTACAGTTTTATAACAACAATCATAACTACACTGGTGTGTAGAATCTTACTGGAGCATGGAACTGAATTCATAGATTTTGCCACTAACTCGGTAGTTCTTAAGACGAAAACCACCAGAATACAAGAGGAGAGTGTGACCAACTGCGTCGAATACACGTATGTTATTAAGTAGCACGAAAAATCGGTAGGGATATTTGTGACAAAATATACAGGATGGAAGAAAACTACCTTATACCTAACGCCTGGGTCACATTCATAGTGTGATTTATTTCAACTAGGTGTGCAACCCCTGCGCTAGTCAGTGACCTCATGTGACTTGGAAGGGCCAATACATCCATTTCCTCAGCTTCGCACCGCTCAAGGTGAAGAGGGGATTGGTGCACTACCTAGCAGATAGAGCAAGGAAGATATGTAATGAGGTCACAATGGCTATCCGGAACGACTGGTTGACAAGATTCAAAGCAGTGGAGACACTGTGAAGAAGACCGAGGTTAAAAAGAAATCGGTATACATCACCTTGCCGTTCAAAGGGGAACATCAGCAGAGGTAAAACAAAGGAGACTGGCCGATGCTGTTAGTAAGACCTTCTATGCAACAAAACTCCATGTTTTGCTCACATCCCAGCTGATTGTTTGTTTACGACTACAGAATAAAATGCCGGATTCTGTCCTCTAATTTTGTGTGTACTCATTTACGTGTTCTTGTGAAACATCGTATATAAGCCGCACGGCCGGGTGTTTGTCCCAACGAATCCGTGAACACCACCCCGCATTGCTAAATACACGAACGATTAGGTTACTAACTAATGCAGTGGTTTCACACCTAGTTGAAATAAATCACACTGTTAATATGACCCAGGCATTGCTGAATATGGGTACATATATAAACATTGCGATATTTATTGTGATGTATTGACGTGACTACAGATCACTGGAAACGAGCTTTTTCGCCACTTTTTGTTCTATTTGAAATGTGGTCTGTGAGACTGAATAGACAAAACTAACCTACTTCCGTTACTTCCTCCCATTATTAATTTATTCAAAGCAGAAGTTAAACGTACACTTTCACTTAGTCCTTGAGTATCGAAGAAGTTCAAATCTCCTATGATGCCCTCAGCTTAACTTAGGAATAGTGCACCGTGCGGTCAGCCCTTATTCAATTTCAAACGTCTGATTATTCAAAAACCATTTGTCTTTCTTTGGGGCAATTTTATCAACCCAGTTACCGAATTTTGAATCCCAATAATGTCCCATTGAATTGCAATGTAAGTGTGAGCAAAGAATTGGGATCATGACGTCCACCATGATCTACCACAGTTTTAACTATATCGATGCTGGACAATTCGTACATTTGTAGTCTAATGCTCAAATCATTGACAAAACCATATTCAAGAGGAAACACGAAACAGAAAATACATGAAATATCTGTCACTGGATTTACTTAGCGTATCGACTTCTTTTCCATATTTCAAGCACCCCTTGCTCGTTGTGCAACGCATTAATGCTTTTCTCGTGAAAATGAGTTCCGTAGTGCCAGTAGACACCCATTTATCTGTTCGTTTTCGTTGTTGCTGTTTCATACCGAAACCGACTGATACATAAACTATGACCTTGGTGACTAATTAAGTTCAGCACGTGATGCTATAACTTGATGCACGAAGGTCTTCGGTGTGGTTTTCACCTCTTTGGGAGATCGTTAATTCCCCACGAGATGATGCATTCAAATGCTAGAATTCCTAGTGCCTCTGAACAATCAAATAGGCTAATCCAAGCTTGATACTCTAAATTTATGTTGGACTGTGTATATTTTACCATGGATAAAACATATTCCAGTAAACATTACCGGAACGAACTTTTGAAAGACAAAATCACACCCTGACATATTGGTTGTAACATTGTAAAACAGTTTTGGAGCAGTCACTCCATTCGATAATGCTGCGGATTTGTTATGCCAAAGGGCGATATCTGTGAATAGTAAAACAGAGCATCCTTGAGAAATCATCTTGCTGTTCCAGCCAAATTTGAAACAACACAGAAGTCATCCATGCATGGGTTATTAAAATACAATACAATAAAATTCCAGAGTAGACTTTTGCCATCTACACAACGAAGAGATCATGGGGTTTCTTTCAAATACCGAGAGATTCTGCTGCCGAACCCTGAGTTGCAATTGACTGATTCTGCACTTCCAACGCATTATGCTTCTCTCTGTTAGATGAACGGCTGCGCATTGTCACGTTAAATGACAGCGGGTTGGACTACTGTGTTTGCGCTTTCCTCCAACTAGGTGAAACTTCATTAGCTGAATGAGATATTGCATGTTGCTTGGTCAACGGCCAACCCGTACATCGGTCAAAGACCAAGGAAGTGCCAGGACCTGCGACATTCGAAGGAGGCCACATTACATAATCAAGACCTACATTATTACGTAAACGGTTGGTTTAGGTTTTTTATGAGGGTGGGGAAGAAGATAAAATAAAATCGAGTGGTATATTAGGCATGGCTACTTAAGTACAAATACACTAACCTGAGCTCAAATTTTCAGCATGTTCAAAATTATCCGGATGCTCTCGAGGTACCCGAATCCAACGAACGTGGTGCCGTGGAAGAACTCGTGCTATTACAGGCACAATAACTAGAACGAGAAAACGGTTGGCTTAAGCAATCTGAGCATAGATCAACCGTAATTTCATCAGAGGATGTTGACTTAGGTTGCAAGAACTACGTTATGAAGAAAAAGGCAATTATCTGCTATATACGAAATAGTGTGTGGTTACGGCTCCTAACACAGATGAATGCTGCGGAGCAATTCATCTTTATCAAAATAAAATAGAACGCATTTCTTTTCATTTTATCTTCATTTTACTTCCTTCTATTAAATATGCAAAGATACAATTTGAGATGGAATCACGACCTCGGACACAATATGCATTAACTGAAGTTATCCCCGCTTTAGATCGGGAAACGTAAATGAAAGTAACGGTGTTTTATGTTCGACTACTTACGAGTAGTCAAGTAGAAGACTGGAAAAGGATTCCAGAAACTGTGGAAACTTTCGGAACACAATCCAGAATCCAAGGGAATTGCGAATATTTAGCCCAACTGAGGTAGCAAGCATTTCTCTAAGACTTATGAAACACACCAGATGTCACCAGATGAAGGCAAGCGTTACCAATGCAAACTATTTTGCCATGAAAAAATTTATTTTGGAAATGACATGTAAGTGTTTTGCCTTCTATTTTTTTATGCCAAAACAACCGGTGGAATTCGTGTTGGCTATAGACAGGACCGCAACCTGAAACTGAGTGTTGGATGACATTCTGGGGCAAAGTTGGGACACCCCATATGAACAAATAACAAAACACTGCAAGTGAGCACGATTTAATTCCGGAATCACTTCGATGCACTTCAGTATACCATATGGTGACACCACGGTTGTTTAGTACGGTTAGTAAAGACTAGGAAATGTTTCAAAACCGACAAAAAATAAAACGATAAGAATTGCTAGCAACAGAAAGCGAAAGGAATGTTCAACCGGGAGACGAAGATGAGATCCACGTTCGCACCGAGGTGCGAGGTTTGAACTTTTCGGAAACGTTGATATTCTTAGCTGTTTGGCAATCTTCTTTCAATACCTCATCTAGATTTGTGCTACATTCTCGATAGGCCATCGAGGATTCTGAAGAGCTTAGTCCGAAAGAATATAGAGATCATATATTAAAGTCAGTTTTTCAGGATAAAAATAGATTTTAATTACAATCTACATGGATCAACTCTGGAAAGCAGACGCCAGAGAAAGTATTAAACGTACAAAACAAAAGGCAGTAAAAAGCACGAACCTGGTAGAACGTGAATGTGTTGATGACCATCAGCATGAGATGGAGGCGCGTCAAATAGGGTTCTGAATGCGCACAATTGTTTTTCCAATTCCAATTCGACCTAGAAAAACGATGCGGAACCGGTATAAAAATCATCCGGTGATTCATTCCAAACGGGATGTGTTGAATTGCATCTGGTAGCTTCAGTAGATCATCCTATGCATAATCTGACGTATACCTTAGATGGCAACACGGTGACTCGTACCAATGCGTGTTTCAAAACAGAAGAACTTCAGCTCGGTAGTAAGCATTAAAGTAAAATGTGAAGCAAGTTAGAATGATGTCTTGCGGAGCTGAATGAAAATAGTATTGTCAAATGTATCTATGGGGATGAATGACAACAACACCTCGACTAATTCTAACCGATTTACGTACAAGATAGATAGGTTATTTGGGTATACTTACGGAAGCAAAGCCAACGGTTCTTTGCAAGAATCACACAAAACGGGTGGCACGCCACTAGAACTGCTCTAGGGAATGTAAAGTTTTGGAATCGAATCAACCGATCAGAGACAAGGTATTACACCGGATACCCGTTAACCGCTAAGCAAACTGATTGAATGATATTCTAAAAAAATTCACTTTTCATGCTTCGCCTGCGTTTCATTGCACGAATGAACACGGTAGAAATGGACTTTATAAGCTATGAGTGTATCAAGTATGGACTGATGAATTGAACACAAACCAGAAACTACGACCTGATTGTACAGATTATACCTGAATATATCTCTTATGAGCACCAGACAGCTGCGAACGTAGCAAAAGCGTTGGAGTTGACACAAAAACAATCTTCATCATAGGAAACACGAATAAGCAACTAAAGCGTTTGTTACCATTGATCATTCGAAACCGTAGATAGTAGAAACCGATGAATCAGGTATGGCTAGTTGCTGTATTCCGCAATCATGAAAGCACTGAGGTGTTCTTCTAACAAACTGTCCCTCCGTGAGCGGCGTCATTCATTCGCATAGAAAGAAGTCTATGTGGCTGTTGGATTCATTCGAAAATGGTACCACTTGGACGTCCTTTCACACTTAGCAAATCGACTCAACCTTTTGCGTGCGAGGTCATAGGTTTAAAATCCTTTGTGATCTGCCACATGCATTACTATTTTCTGACCGCTATTGATTAATACTCTTGTTTTTCGTTTGTACATGTTTGTGCTAACATTACAGCAATGACAGTAGCAAGCAGTTTCCATTGTTTTTCTCCCATTTTTCGGGCAACTGTCCCATGTTCATTCACACAGCAACCTCTGCTTTATGTCCAGTGAATTCCTTCTATTGCACAACAAACTTACCGGCCGCCTAAAATCAAACACTCCTCGGGGTAATCGAGAGATCCAACGGTTTGATGGGGAAGTGACACGTAATCGACCAGAATCGATGGTTGGTCCCGAGCTGCGGGATCCGTCTAGAGGTCAGTAAAGACTGGTCCAAGTTACCGTGCTTCAAATGCATGTTGTTCTGTTTCCTACTGCATCCATCAAAACTTGCGATTTGAGAATATAAAGCCTAGCTTCGAGGCCAGCCTCATTCGTCTGACTCGATATGTCTGACCGTCAAGATGCTAGTACAAGTGATGTTTCATGAGTAGAACGACTTCAACAACCCGGAACAACCTGGTTGAGCATTGTATTTCAGTCACTAATACCAAAGAATAAGATGTTTTGTGCCCAACTGGGTTAGTTAACTTCATAGAACCATTAACCATGCAACTTCGTGTGGCGGTTTCGGTTTTCTTTTGGCTGCCCATTCGGATATAAGAGTAGGGGGAAGATTGGAATGTTGGAAACAGTATCTGCATAAAGATGCAGAATTTGAGTAGACTAAAATTGGGAGGAAACTCAGTAGATTCACGAGCGCCGCTGTTTAAGACAGGCAGGCATATTACAGTCTGGCAAATCGATTAGGTTGATTCCGAGGTCCCACACTCAGAGGTGTAACCCGACCTACTTCCCCAAGTCTCTTGGTCAAGGATTTGATACTCTCATGCCAAATGTTCGTTGGACCGTCCTCAACGTTCTTCCAAACACTGCCTACCTCGGTAAACACAGCACATCATATTACTCCACAGTCAGTGACATTCTAACAGAATTCAGTTTAACAGGGTCATACATAAAACTGATTTAGTTTTAAAGCAGGGTAATGTAAACAGTTATTTACTTTTGACTGAAAATCTTTGTACATCACTCTCACATACAATATCGGGTTTATCCAATCAGTGATTCACTCGAGAGTCGATTTCATTTGAACACTGCAGTGGTGCATGCTCACAGGCCTATCCTGGGTCAAAAGTTGGAAAACCTCGTGATCTGCAAATTCTGTTTAAAACGTCCTAAAAATATTCGACGAGACCTCGGTCATAGATTTTTTGCAATCGACGGAACCCGACTGTCCTAAAGGTTCGTTCATTGGTCCGAATAACACCCATGAAGATCCCAACCTCGGAGTCCGGAATTTCATCAAACCGAACATACTTTAGATATGGCTAGCGGCTCAATCCAGATGATGGTAGAGATTTCTTATTCACCAGGGGTTTTTAACGGTAAATGGGCAATCCGTCTCATCAGCATGACTTCCCCTTAACGGTTGTATGTTGGATTTAACACTTGATGTTTCCCTAATCGCTCCTCCGTTGATCGCTGTGATTCTCAACTGCATTGGTGGTCCAGATATTCCGAGAGTCTTAGTGACCGTGTTGGAAAGCACGGTTGTGTCGGAGCCATTTTCCATAAGGGCGTTTGTTTCTTTGGAGCTCTGGGAAGATGGGAGACTTTCAACTGAATCTTCTATGGACATGAGGTTTGCCTGTGCAGGTGTCGGCATGTGAATTTAGGCATCATATTCTTCCTTGGCGATTTCCCTTAACAACTGCGGTTGTTTCGTTCTAATTTCTGGTTTCTTCCTTTCTATAGCAAGCAGCTCCAACTATTGCTTCTACTATGTCTAGATAAACTGGTAGAGGAAATAACACTGCATGCAGCCTTATTCTCTTTAGCCGGACAAACCTTAGGTTCATAGAAGATTCAGTTGAAAGTCTCCCATCTTCCCAGAGCTCCAAAGAAACAAACGCCCTTATGGAAAATGG